AGTATTACGAAGTATATATGTACATTGAGTTTCATTCGGATGTTTACAGACACTTTTTTTAAACAACCGATTTTAACGGGCAAAAGCTTATCTAATCTCTCTCTCTAATTTTTGACTAAAACTAATCGGAAATATACCACCATTAGAAACGTAGAAGCAGTACCGTCTTTACCATAAGGGCACACGGGGCCCGTGCCCAGGGCCTCCATCGTCAAGGGGCCTCCAAAAAGCAAATACATAGCACGTTAAATATTCGCTTACCTCATTTTTTTTCAAATTCATATCGATATTTTCCGAAAGAAAAGTCAATGAGCCTTTTTAGCAACTTTATGGCAACTCTAAGCACTGACAAGCCAATGATCAGTAACGGCCTTAGCCATTGCGAGGCCCCGGGCCCCGGGAATTAGTTTTAATGATCATACATTAAACAAAAAAACTACATCGCAACACATACTGCTGCTCGCACATAAAAGCATAAGCCGAAGACAGTTTCTACAATGTTACAGGCGAAATCAAACACGGGGAATCCCTGAACGTAAATCGTAAACACCTTAAATAGACCATTTTAAATTACCATCATATTTCTGGGACACTATTTTCTACAGCGATTGTTCTCCTCTCTCTAACCTCTAACGTTTCGCTAGAGTGGCCAATATGGCGACTGCGATTTGTCTGTCAGTACCATTGGAATTAAACAAAATACTCGACAATCCGAATTTTGCGGATATATGATTTTTTTTTTAAGTTTCATTCAGGTAAGGTTTCGATCGAGTCTACCGTAACCCTTGACGAAATTATTAATATATTGGACTATTACTACTAACGCCATCTGTTAGAAAACTCACTAGTTAAAAATACGCCAAATTTTATTAGTTAAAAAGAAATAAATAATGAGTAATTAATTATCACGAGCCCTTCTGAATCACCGCTTTTTAACAATTTAAATATGTAAAATGATGGCATATTTAATTTTCTTTTCTGTTTTATCAACTTTATTACAAGTCACATGTGCCACTCTATAAGCGTGGATTCTACGCCAGATCTCTCTCACGTTGACCAACTAACTTTCATCGTTAGATACGTAAAATATGGAGAGCCTATTGAGAGATTTTTACAGTTCTTGCCTATAGATAAACATAATGCAGAATACTTAGCAGGTAACATTTTGAACTTTATAGAAAGCCTTGATATTCCTATAAAAGATTGTCGTGAACAGAGTTATGATAATGCATCAAATTTGGCTGGAAAGTATTCTGGTGTTCAGTCAAGAATAAAAGAAAAATGCAAATTTGCCATTTTTGTCCCATGTGCAGCACACTCGCTAAATTTAGTAGGTGTTCAAGCTATTGATTGTGTTTCCGAAGCTGCAGCATATTTTCAGTTTATACAAAAATTGTTCAATTTCTTTTCCGCTTTGACTTTGCTTTAAGTATTAATAAATTTAAGTCTTTAGTAAAGCTAAAACTATGTGAAAAGGCTTACTACACTATTACAGATTATTTAGACGACAAATTTGCTTGGGATAGATGCTGCTCACTCCCACATTTACGTAGACATCTTTGTTTTTAAGTTTGAAAGTGATGGACATTTAATTATTATTTTTTTGGTGTATTTCGTATTTTGTTTTCGTATTTTATTTTTCGTTGACTTTGAACTGTATATTATTTTTTTATTTTTTGTGTAAGTATGTAAATGTGAGTACAGTGTAGGCTTGTAAAGTTAATTCATATTTTATTATCTTTCTGGTGGTTTTGAGTGTTTCCACGGCCTACCCAAATGTCCTGCTGGCGGTAGTGTCATGCTTCGGGTCGTTGATCTTGATCAATATCGGTTAGGCTACACGATGGCTGGTGCCTGTATGCCGTCTGTATGGACAGGTTGACTCAAAACTATGGGTCCTCAAAACGCCTATCCAGACCCTATACTGTACTCGCACAGTTTTATTTAACTTTGTTTACGGACTTAAAAAAAAAAGACACCTCTGTGGTTTATTTCGGCGTTTCTTCCCAGAGTGAGTCTTAGGAAATGCCGCCTCCTTCTAGCTTTAAAGTCCGACTTGTAAAAAAGAAAAAGATTTACTTACAGCAATAAATATCATTTCATTTCATTTCATGACCAAACGATGGAAAATTATGGTAGAGAATTTAGGCACAAATAAAGTCTTGAATTCTGTGCCGGATACTAGATGGTCTGCACGTGCAAATGCCATTAATGCTTTACAAAATGGTTATTTAAATATTTCTGAAGCTTTGTCCTCGATAGTAAGTGATGTCAATCAACCAGGAGAAACAAGAAACGAAGCGCAAAGCCTAGTAAAAAAAAATTGAAAAATTGAAAACAATACTTTTAACGGAAATATGGAATGATTTTTTGGGAATTATGGACAAAACAAGTTTAAGCTTACAGGATAGCACTATTACCATGGACGTTGCCACAAAGCCTTACGCATCTGCTAAAGAAAAAAATCCAAATGCTGACTATAAAGATAAATTTGACAGGAATAGAATTCGCAGCACACGCGTTACTTTCTTTGAAGGATCATCAGAGACTGTGCAGTTGCATGGGAAGGAAAAATTTCGTATAGATACACTTATCCTTATAATAGATACATTAAATGCACATTTAAAAAATCGTTTGGTAGCGTATCAAGAAATTCACGATCGTTTTCGTTTTCTTTTACAATTAACAACAATTGATTCTGACGAGTTAACAAAAAAATTCAATGCATTTAAAGAATTCTATCAGGAAGACATTAATGCATATGAGCTCAAATCAGAGTGTTTTTAAACGAAATTCCTTATCGCGCGTTGTGAAAGGGGCTAGACGGAAAAAATTCTCACGAAAAGTTGTAACGACACTTTTATGTCAGTCATTCAGCGCCATCTATCGAATAGATAGGAAATCATTACTTTCATCTCAGTATTTATTTTGAATTGTCACTTGTCAGTCATTCAGCGCCATCTATCGAATAGATGGGAAATCATTTCTCAAGGAGATTTTACCAATGTATAAATTGTTTTAATTAGAAACCAACTGAAAAATATGTAGGTTATTACCTACATATTTTTCAGTTGGTTTGGTTCCGCTTTTTCTCAATCAGTTTTACTCGATCGTCACAACTTCGTTCCTAGCGGGTGTCCCACGACACCACACGGCTTTTTTATTTAAAGAATATATCAAAGGAATCAGCTGATTTGAGTATCTCAAACTTACATAATTTAATAAAGTCCGATTGATTAGAAGTAACTTTTCCAAATGTCGAAGTGGCTACAAGAATGTTTCTATGCCTAATGGTTACCAATTGCAGCGGAGAGCACTCATTTTCAAAGTTAAAGCGAATAAAAAATGAATTACGAACATCAGCGTCACAAGAGCGACTAACGTATTTATCAATTATGTGTATTTCTATACACATAATTGATGATATCCTCAAAAAAATTGACTTTGAAGATATAATAGAAGAATTTCCACAACAGAAATCCCGAAAAAAATCACTGTCGTAATTGTACCTAACTGATTCAAACCATCAATTCAAAGATGCTTGTCTAATTAACATCCCATATGTATATCTATTATACTTACTCGTAAATGTATGTATCTAATTAATATCTCTAATTATAGGTACGAGTATATTTGATTGTTGCCAATAAATCATTTTAATTAAAAGATCATAATTAAAAATAATTTCACCATTCATTTTGTTAACTGTCCAACAGGGCCCCTAATTCTTGTGTGCCCAGGGGCCTCGGCGTGGCCTAAGACGGCCTTGCGTAGAAGTAAAGAAAGAAAGCCATGAACAAAATAACCAACGAAAACATTAATGAGAATTTAAAAAAGGTTTTCTTTATACTATGAAGGATTTAAATGATATCATTTTGCGTGATTTATATTTTGAACTTAGCCAGCAGTGTCTGTAGACATTTTCCTAAATCCTGTGCTCATGTTGACAAATCATCATGAACACGGATTCTTTTTTCGATACTGATTAGCTAATAAAAGCTATTTGTGAAAGCTAATAAATAATATTCATCGATTATATCAGTACCATATCATATGTTATGTCTGTTTACATACACAAACAAATTTCACAATACTTACACTACTTAAAACAAAACATATAGTGACATCTGTCTGATGTCTTAGGAAAGCTCTTGCACGGTAATATAAAATTTTCTACCTGTTTAGTAGATTTTAATATTATGAAAAAAAATCGAGTTAAGATTTAATGTCAAATTAGTGTGAACTAAGAGTAAGTAATTTTGACTGCATGGACGCCGCTTTCTACTGCGTTGTGGTTGAGTGTTGTGCATTCGATCCCCATATGGGACACCACCTTGTATGATCCTCAAATTGTTGTTCTGAGTATGAGTGTTCTTTGTGTTCGTTTCATATGTATGTTTGTAAAGTTATACACATAATATATATTCCTAAGGCGGAAATTGTAAAAAAATGAATCTTGAAAAAAAAACCTTTCTACACTACTGTGTCGAAATTATTAGTTATTTAGCTATTTAGTGATATTATCAAAAATCGTAAAGTAAACAATATCTTGTAAAAATATTGATCTGCTGCCAGATAACTTTAAATTTTGTATTATGGTGATCTACGTCATTCCTTAAAATTAAACCCACTTTTTTATTGAAGAAAAATAGAAAATTATATTTAATTTTAATATGCGTTTTCAAGAGACTTTAGCGGTGCACTTTGAAATGAAGGAGAAATATTTTATTTAGATTATTAACATTATTTAGATTATTTATGATAATTGGATCAATCAATCGAAATTACCTACATCAGTGTTTACTCAAAGATGTTCTAGTAGATTTTAATAACCTATTATGGTTTGCGGTAGAATCTTGAAAAAAACTGGTCTCGCTAGCTTTCGAACAATTAATTATGCTACTACAGACAGTGAGCCAACTTCAGTGTAGTGCGCAGGAGCGTAATTGATAGTCGTGTATGTGAATAAGTGAAAAATTGTGACATTGTAAGTCGTTAAAATGATTTTAACAAAATGTACACTATTGGTCGGATTGATTTTGACATTACTTTCAGACCCTATATTGGGTAGAAAAGGTTTAAGTGGTAGTCACAGTTATCCAAAATCTGGTGGACTTTCCGGAGGAGGTCATCATCGCACAGGTGGCCTTTCTGGTGGTGGACACGGTTATCCTTCAAGTAGTCATTCAGGTGGACTCTCTGGAGGTGGACACGGATACCCATCTTCGGGAGGCAGTCATAGTTACCCGTCCTCGGGAGGCAGTCATAGTTACCCGTCTTCGGGAGGCAGTCATAGTTACCCATCCTCGGGAGGCGTTCATACACACCCATCCTCAGGAGGCAGTCATACTTACCCGTCCTCGGGAGGCAGTCATACTTACCCATCGTCGGGAGGCAGTAAGAGTTACCCAAACTCGGGAGGTGCTCATACATATCCGACCTCTGGCAAGACGCATGGTTATCCTACGTCTGGCGGTGGCTTGTCGGGTGGTGGCCATCCATCAAACAATCCTGTCAGACACACAACAACTGTTAACCACTACCATTACTCTCCACCGGCGCAAATCACCTACATACCTCGAGGTGGCTCACCAATGAACTACCCTGTGTACCGCGGCACGCCACCGACCTATGTGTACCAGTACAAGGATTCTGGAAGCAAGTACGGTACACTGTTAGCTGGTTTGGCACTAATGAATCTTGGAACTCTCGGCGTCGCCGGTTACGCAGCACACCAAGCTCATCAAGCGAATCATGGATCAAACACTTACAAGCCACAGCCAGGTGAAATTTGCAAATTTGCTATAAAGAAAGAAAATGGTGATTATGAAGAGACAAAAATAGATTGCCAGATAATAAGCAGTTTCATTTTGCAAGATATGGCAGCTCAGCCTGCAGGTAACAATTTAAACAATTCCACCATAACAACAACCACAACAGTGACCAATGTTACAATAGTAAATTCTACTAATGCTGGCCAACTGCTGACAACACAGCCACCTGTCCCTCTTATACCAGCACCTGGTGGTATAATGTATAATATGCTGCCAAATGGAACTCTTGTACCTGTTGTTAATAACCCTGGTGTACCAGGCTTTGTTAATGTTACACAAAATCAGTCAGCTCCATTAAATCCAGGTTCATCGTCTGTAGTGGTAACAACTACAACAACAAACACTACACAGCTAGTGAGCGCATTGGATGTTAAAGGAAAACCTGTGGTAGTAACTCCAGGAATGCAGTGCTTTGTTATCAGACTTAGCCCAATGGGCAACATGAGGAAGACTGTGCCTTGTGGTGTTTTACAGACCTATGCTGATAAATCTCTTAAACCTAATGCAGCAACTAAACATGTGCCTATGTTTACTGTTGTAGCTGCTATTCTGGCTTATTGTATAGCATATTAAGGTAAAAAAACAATATTTTTTCAATGTTGCGACATGTTTAGTTTGCACTCTAACCAGATTATACTTTATTATTGTTGAAAGTATCACTGTTCCTTACTATGAATAGCTAGAGTTTCAACTATAACATGTGTCAAGGTGCAAGTAATTTGTTGGAATTCATTCAAAAAATGGAGAGCCACCACGGCTCTCCTCATTAACTTATTGAGCTGATATTTTTAAACCAAAATTTAATTGACTATACCATTTACAGTTACCAAATAAGATTTGAATAGATCTGGTTAGATGTTTTATTTGTACTTTGTTATCTGGTTTAAGTAAAGATTAACCTAGTGTATGAACATTTTCTTCTCCTAAGTCATAGTTGGAATCTAAAGTAAATAACAAACAATACTAATGCAAGAATTCAATGAAAATTGTTTAAAAGACAGTGGTTAGTTCGAGTGACAAGCAATGCCTACATTTCACACTCATATTATTCTCCACATATATGCAATCCATTAGCTTGTATAAAATTTGAGTAGTGTAAGTATTGCACCTACACCGCTTGTTCTGTTCTAAATTGTTTGTACAGAGGAAGCAATTTCTATTATAAAATATCTATGCTTTTTAACACTTGCACAGAATAAAACTCTAAAGCAAGCACTCTATTTGACCTGATCCTCATATACAGTTATTGAGATAATTTAAATGAGTAGTTGATTCAATCTGTTTGTCTAACTAACATTTAATCCAAAATTATGTTACTAGGTAGGTTTTTCATGTTGCAGCTAATTAAAACAAGAGCTTATTGTAGTTTTACATGTTGTCTCTGTTACCAATTTGTAAAACTACTGCTACTATTTGTGTCAAGTTTATTTTTTAACAATTGTGCTCTTTGAGAATTTTTATATGAATGTATATATGTAATTAAACAATTAGGATATACTTTTATTTTGCTACCACAAGTATTTTACAAAAAGATTTATAAAACCTGCCTTTTAGATGTGTGTAATGTTTTGAGAGGTTCTTGGATTTAATAGATTGGGCAGTATGGGTTTGTCAGGGTTGGAAGTTTGCAAGCAGTGGTCAGTGTTGTCTGGAGTTTGGTATTGTGCCCAATGAGCTTGATGCCTCCCAAGTGGGTTCTAACATAGCATGTGAAATGTGAGTGATGATGAAGCTGAAGCTAGCCGACGGAGCTAGCCGACGGACATAGCCTGCGTAGTATATGGCACGCCCCTCAAATTCATTTAATACTAAAAATTATAACTTTTCTGCCAACGTAAAAGTAATTTCGTATTATTGTATGATCCTTAGGCATTAACTATACAAAATTAGAAAGCAATCCTATTGTTGTGAACAGAGTTACATCAGGTTTTCGTCGAATCGGTCAATTTATCGTAAGTCATGTCTGATTGTTCATTTAATAATAAAAATTGTAACTTTTCTGCCAACGTAAAAGTAATTTGGTATTATTGTATGATACTTAGGCATTAACTATACAACATTTGAAAGCAATCCTATTTTTGTGAATCGAGTTACAGCACGTTTTTGATCGAAATTCAGTATTTTTTGTTAGTTACCTACGTTTACTCATTAATTGTGTTAATTCTATGTTTTCTGCCAACGTAAAACCTATTTAGTATTATTGTATGATACTTAGGCATTAACTATACAAAATTTGAAAAGAATCCTATTGTTGTGAACAGAGTTATATCAGATTTTTCGTCGAATCGTTCAATTTATCGTAAGTCGTGTCTGATTGTTCATTTAATAATAAAAATTATAACTTTTCTGCCAACGTAAAAGTAATTTGGTATTATTGTATGATACTTAGGCATTAACTATACAAAATTAGAAAGCAATCCTATTTTTGTGAATCGAGTTACAGCAGGTTTTTGTTCGAAATTCAGTATTTTTTGTTAGTTACGTACGTTTACTCATTAATTGTGTTAATTCTATGTTTTCTGCCAACGTAAAACTTATTTAGTATTATTGTATGATACTTAGGCATTAACTATACAAAATTAGAAAGCAATCCTATTTTTGTGAATCGAGTTACAGCAGGTTTTTGTTCGAAATTCAGTATTTTTTGTTAGTTACGTACGTTTACTCATTAATTGTGTTAATTCTATGTTTTCTGCCAACGTAAAACTTATTTAGTATAATTGTATGATACTTAGGCATTAACTATACAAAATTTGAAAGCAATCCTATTGTTGTAAACAGAGTTACATCAGGTTTTTTGTCGAATCGGTCAAATTATCGTAAGTCATGTCTGATTGTTCATTTAATACTAAAAATTATAACTTTTCTGCCAACGTAAAAGTAATTTGGTATTATTGCATGATACTTAGGCATTAACTATACAAAATTTGAAAGCTATCCTATTATTGTGATCAGAGTTACATCAGGTTTTTCGTCGAATCGGTCAATTTATCGTAAGTCATGTCTGATTGTTCATTTAATAATAAAAATTATAACTTTTCTGCCAACGTAAAAGTAATTTGGTATTATTGTATGATACTTAGGCATTAACTATACAAAATTTGAAAGCAATCCTATTGTTGTGAACAGAGTTACATCAGGTTTTTTGTCGAATCGGTCAAATTATCGTAAGTCATGTCTGATTGTTCATTTAATAATAAAAATTATAACTTTTCTGCCAACGTAAAAGTAATTTGGTATTATTGTATGATACTTAGGCATTAACTATACAAAATTTGAAAGCAATCCTATTGTTGTGATCAGAGTTACATCAGAGTTTTCGTCGAATCGTTCAATTTATCGTAAGTCGTGTCTGATTGTTCATTTAATACTAAAAATTATAACTTTTCTGCCAACGTAAAAGTAATTTGGTATTATTGTATGATACTTAGGCATTAACTATACAAAATTTGAAAGCAATCCTATTGTTGTGAACAGAGTTACATCAGGTTTTTCGTCGAATCGGTCAATTTATCGTAAGTCATGTCTGATTGTTCATTTAATAATAAAAATTATAACTTTTCTGCCAACGTAAAAGTAATTTGGTATTATTGTATGATACTTAGGTATTAACTATACAAAATTTGAAAGCAATCCTATTGTTGTGATCAGAGTTACATCAGGTCTTTCGTCGAATCGGTCAATTTATCGTAAGTCGTGTCTGATTGTCCATTTAATAATAAAAATTATAACTTTTCTGCCAACGTAAAAGTAATTTGGTATTATTGTATGATACTTAGGCATTAACTATACAAAATTAGAAAGCAATCCTATTTTTGTGAATCGAGTTACAGCAGGTTTTTGTTCGAAATTCAGTATTTTTTGTTAGTTACGTACGTTTACTCATTAATTGTGTTAATTCTATGTTTTCTGCCAACGTAAAACTTATTTAGTATAATTGTATGATACTTAGGCATTAACTATACAAAATTTGAAAGCAATCCTATTGTTGTAAACAGAGTTACATCAGGTTTTTTGTCGAATCGGTCAAATTATCGTAAGTCATGTCTGATTGTTCATTTAATACTAAAAATTATAACTTTTCTGCCAACGTAAAAGTAATTTGGTATTATTGCATGATACTTAGGCATTAACTATACAAAATTTGAAAGCTATCCTATTATTGTGATCAGAGTTACATCAGGTTTTTCGTCGAATCGGTCAATTTATCGTAAGTCATGTCTGATTGTTCATTTAATAATAAAAATTATAACTTTTCTGCCAACGTAAAAGTAATTTGGTATTATTGTATGATACTTAGGCATTAACTATACAAAATTTGAAAGCAATCCTATTGTTGTGAACAGAGTTACATCAGGTTTTTTGTCGAATCGGTCAAATTATCGTAAGTCATGTCTGATTGTTCATTTAATAATAAAAATTATAACTTTTCTGCCAACGTAAAAGTAATTTGGTATTATTGTATGATACTTAGGCATTAACTATACAAAATTTGAAAGCAATCCTATTGTTGTGATCAGAGTTACATCAGAGTTTTCGTCGAATCGTTCAATTTATCGTAAGTCGTGTCTGATTGTTCATTTAATACTAAAAATTATAACTTTTCTGCCAACGCAAAAGTAATTTGGTATTATTGTATGATACTTAGGCATTAACTATACAAAATTTGAAAGCAATCCTATTGTTGTGAACAGAGTTACATCAGGTTTTTCGTCGAATCGGTCAATTTATCGTAAGTCATGTCTGATTGTTCATTTAATAATAAAAATTATAACTTTTCTGCCAACGTAAAAGTAATTTGGTATTATTGTATGATACTTAGGTATTAACTATACAAAATTTGAAAGCAATCCTATTGTTGTGATCAGAGTTACATCAGGTCTTTCGTCGAATCGGTCAATTTATCGTAAGTCGTGTCTGATTGTCCATTTAATAATAAAAATTATAACTTTTCTGCCAACGTAAAAGTAATTTGGTATTATTGTATGATACTTAGGCATTAACTATACAAAATTAGAAAGCAATCCTATTTTTGTGAATCGAGTTACAGCAGGTTTTTGTTCGAAATTCAGTATTTTTTGTTAGTTACGTACGTTTACTCATTAATTGTGTTAATTCTATGTTTTCTGCCAACGTAAAACTTATTTAGTATTATTGTATGATACTTAGGCATTAACTATACAACATTTGAAAGCAATCCTATTTTTGTGAATCGAGTTACAGCAGGTTTTGATCGAAATTCAGTATTTTTTGTTAGTTACGTACGTTTACTCATTAATTGTGTTAATTCTATGTTTTCTGCCAACGTAAAACTTATTTAGTATAATTGTATGATACTTAGGCATTAACTATACAAAATTTGAAAGCAATCCTATTGTTGTAAACAGAGTTACATCAGGTTTTTTGTCGAATCGGTCAAATTATCGTAAGTCATGTCTGATTGTTCATTTAATACTAAAAATTATAACTTTTCTGCCAACGTAAAAGTAATTTGGTATTATTGTATGATACTTAGGCATTAACTATACAAAATTTGAAAGCAATCCTATTGTTGTGATCAGAGTTACATCAGA